GTTTCTACGGTGCGAGGACGCACCTTCCGGGAGGGGGGAGTACTGTAACGCCCCTGTGGACTGTTTATTGTGGTTTCTTCCCCTTGTGTTGGTTTAGCCCGTACTAATCATTAATTACCCTCATTGTGCTCACCTGTCTGCCACTAATTATTCACCCCATATTAGTTCCTGTCTGTCTGAGCATTGGTGTCGGTTATTGTTAATGTTACCCCGAGTGTGTGTCTCACCTACCTGAACCTGCCTTGTTGTGTCTACAATAAATGTCATTATTGGAATCCTTGTCGTCCTCGTCGTCCTGCCTGCCTCCACACACCCGTTTCCGTGACAATGGATGAGTTGAACTTATATAATTTTAAATATATATTTGTTTAATATTTTGGATATAATGTTTTCATATTTTGATTGCTTCTACTGTCCTCATTTTTAAGTCACTTTGGATAAAAGCATCTGCTAAATGGCTAAATGTAAATGTAAATGATTATTGCAGTCACAACATTTGTTTATTGATTTGTTATCATTTAAATAATATTTAAATACAATTAGTATTTGGTCATTGTTATGCATTTATATTATTTTATATTATTGAATACTTATTTTTTATTTGAGAGTAGAATTAGATTACGGTATTTGTAACACATTTCCGTAATTATTTGTTATAATCTAATTAATAATTAAATGAATAAAAAGGAGTCCAGTATTGATACAAATATTTCAGCTAAAGTAATATTTGCTTTATTTCTATGGTGATATTTGTTTAAATGAATTAAGCAAACCCTGCACATGTTTGAACACATTTTGACATGTTTTAGTAAATAATAGATTTTTTTTCAGTGAATATACTGTCATTAAAACATTTTACTACTCAGAAGAAAAAAGATATTTTAGAAAGTAAATATTCTGGCAGCTTCTTTCGCTGAAGGAGATCCCATAATAATCAAATGTCTTTACTGTAGTTAGAACAAATTTCTTTTATTAAATGCTATGATTAATGTCATATTTTGCAATGTAAGAAACTATCCTGAAGCTGATTTCAACTAATTAATTCATTTTATTCATAATTCATACAGCATTCAGACATTTCACACATTCATCATCAAATAAAATATGATCTCATGATGATTTGACATTGTGTATTATTACAAACAATAGAGAAAATCACATGAATGACAAGATATAAGCCTGATTTTGATAGTAATAATACAAGACTGATTTTAGTCAGCAGAGTTTGAGAAAAGCACAGAAACTATATGAGGATTTCTGACACATTTATTCTGATTGATGTTTATATAAATATCATGAAGAGACTCTATAACATCTCACTGTTACTGATTTATCATGCAGCTCAAAGCTTTATGGGTAGAACCTCTCATCAGTCTATTCTGATTAATCAAGTTTCACTGATGATCCTAAACCAACATTAAACCCAGGATAGAGCGGCTGAGTGAATGTGGTCCGGACTGTGTGGATGAGGCTCATTGTGTCAGAGACGCTGTAGAAGGACAGAGTTCCTGCACTGTGATCCACAAACACTCCTATTCTCCTGCTGATGGACTTTATAGGGAGACGAGTCTGTATGTTATTGTGTCTGAATGAGTAACTGGAGGAAGAGCAGTCCAGACTCCAGGACTGATCATTATATCCAAACAAGCACTTAGTATCCGTTCCCTTGCGACTGATGTGTTTATATGACACTGATATACCCACATCACCGTTACACTCCACTTCCCAGTAACAGCATCCATGCACACTCTCTCCACACAGCACCTGATAATAAACATCAAATCTGTCCGGATGATCAGGATACCGCTGGACTGTGTCGGTGTATGTAGCCAATCTGTTCCTCTCCGACAGATGAATGTGTTTATTTACAGTGTTTGGATCAAATGTGAACTGATGAGAATCTGATGGAGATCAAATATATCAGAGTGATCAGGAAACATTTAAACATTAAGGTTTTTGTTTTAATGTAGCTGAATAGTTTATATCAAAATATTTAAAGGTCATTTACATTATGGTTGGTTAGTACAGAGTCAGTATTTTGAGTCTTTGCAACTTACGTTGTAGGAAGTCCTTTCTGGTTCTCAGAACAATGTTGATGTGTTTAACTGTGAAAATGGATATAAACGGGTCATTTTCATAAATAAGAGGACATTATCAGCTATACTGTACATCCATCCAATTATATATCTGTAATAAATACATTTCTAATGATTTCAAAATGATATTAGATTATGTAGCGTTTTTTTCTGACAGTAAATTAATGTTTAATGCTTTACCTACCAGAAATCCTTTTGATTTCCTCTTTACAGAACTTCTCTATTTTCTCTCTCAGTTGACAGATAGATTGTCTTACATCATTAACAGAGAGAGGTGATGTGACAGTAATTCTCTCTGTAGGTTCAAGAGGTGCAGACAGATACTGAAATCCCTACAAAAAAAAAAAAAAGTCAAATAATTTAGCTTTTGTTGACTTACCTTCAGTGACTTGCCTTTAACACACTAATCTAATCTAACCTCAAAAATCAATTTATGTGAATTTAACTGCTTAGACAGCCAGTAAAATCATATAAAATATCCTGTATCACAATGCTGATGACCTTCAGGAAATGGATGTGATCATCTGTGTGTTTAAGTTGCTCCAGCTCAGCGTTTTTCCTCCTCAGATCAGCAATCTCCTGCTCCAATCGCTCCAAGAGTCCTTCAGTTTGACTCACCACAGCCCTTTCCTGATCTCTGATCAGCCGTGTCACGTCAGAGCGGTTTTTCTTAATGGAGCGAATCAGATCAGAAAAGATCATCTCGCTTTCCTTCACTGCTGCCTGTGC